AATAAATAAATAAAAATAAAAAGAATTCCTAAATAACCTTGTTCATTTGTTTGGTTTGGTTTGAGTCTAGGGGCCATGAAGCCCAGCCTAGCCTCAACTCCCTAATCCTTCTGCTTCTGCCTCCTACAAGCTAAGGTTACAGGCTTCTGCCACAGTGCCCAGCCACCATATATTGTTTACTCAATCTTCCCCAAGTGTTGACATCTTGCGTAACCATAGCACAATGATCAAAACAAGGAAATAAGAACTGATGTAATAGAGTTACCCATTCACATGTCGATCTTACTTAAGCTGGTAGCAGAAAGTCCCTTTCTCTCATTCAGCACCCAATCCTGCCCTGCTGTACTGTTGTTTTGTTTCCGTCTCCAATCTGAACTACAGACAATCTTTCAAAGATTGTCCCTAACTAAAAGTCGTTTTTTTACAAGCTGATTTGTCTCCTACCCTCATTTATGCATTGAAGCCCTGACTCTTGGTACTTCAGAATGTGACTGTATTTGAAGACAAAGACCTTAAAGAAGTGACCCAGTTAAGATGAAGTCATGAGAGAGGCAATATAATCTGTATGATGTCTTCATAAAAGGAAATGGACTCAGCAAGAGACACCATGGTGGATTCACACAGAAGAAAAACTATAGGTGAGGACGTTACAAGAAGGTGGCTGGCTATTTGGACTGGTTTGTGGTGTCCTTGCTTGTATTTCTAGCACTTGAGGGTGGAGACATAAGAGTTAAGAGATCAAGATTGGTACCAACTACACAATGAGTGAGTGTGAGGCCAACCTGGACCATATAGACTCTGACTTTAAAAAACAAAACGGGGAACAGCAAGATGACTCAGGGGAAAGGCACTTTATTTCAACCTCCAGAACGAACATGGTAGAAGAAGGAATTTGACTCCTACACATTGCCTATGACCTTCCCACATGCCATGCCATGTGCACTTGTATATACATACACACAGAGAAAAAGACACAGGTACAGAGAAGTGGGGAGTAAAAACTAAAAAGGAAGGAGGTGCTGTGAGATGTTTTGTATGCTGTGAATGTCATGCCTGTAGCTGAAGTTTTCCTGTGTCCACCCAGGTACTGCACACTCAGACCCAAGTAAACCCACAGAGACATATTATTTATAAACTGTATGGCTTTGGCAGGCTTTTTGCTATCTAGTTCTTATATCTTAAATTAACCCATTTCTATAAATCAATACCTTGCCACATGGCTCATGGCTTACTGGTATTCTTACATCTTGCTTTTAACGGTGGCGACAGCTGGCAGCATCTCCTACTTAGCCTTTCACTCCCCAGAATTCTCCTCTCTGCTTATCCAGCCTATACTATACTTCCTGCCTGACTACTGGCCAATCATTGTTATTTATCAATCAATCAAAGCAACACATTCACAGCATAGAGAAAGACATCCCCAGCAGTTGCTCTGATTGGTTGATAAATAAAAAGCTGATTGGCCAGTAGCCAGGCAGGAAGTACAGGCAGGAAAAACAGACAAGGAGAATTCTGGGAACAGGAAGACTGAGTCAGGAGATGCCAGCCTGCCATGCAGGGAGCAGCATGTGATGGCACACAGGTAAAGCCACAGAGCATGTGGAACACATAGATTAACAGAAATGGGCTGAGTTAAATGTAAGAGCTAGTCAGTGGTAGGCCTGAGCTAATGGCCAAGCAGTTTTAATTAATATAAGCCTCTGTGTGTTTACTTGGGTCTGAGTGGCTGCAGACAAATAGGACACAGGAAAACTCCAGCTACAAATAGCACCCAATTGGTTGGCTCAAGTTTCCACCTGAAACCTGAGAATATTTAATAAGCAACTCTAAATGCAGCCAAAAACAGATTCTTACTTCATGTCTCATGCATGCGGCGAGATGCTGCAACATGCAGGCTTGAGCTACAGTATGGTGGGTTCGTGGCATGTGGGCTTGACCTACAGCATGGCTACAGATTCCTGCCACAGTACACAGAGTCGCCTCCAAGCTGCACAGTGTGGTGTCTGTGAATTTAGCCTTTGCTAGTACAGACAAAAAAAAGGGGGGGGGTTGGGCTATACGCTGCTGGATGGAAGCATAGACCCACTGCTTCCCAGAGTCAGCGTTCAGCTTGGTTCCCAGAGCTGGCTGTAAATATACAACCACCATGTTGGAAAGCTGAGGTGGGCGGAGCCAGTAGCCAAAGCTGCTATTTTAGCCCTGGCAATGCTGCAGTTTAAAGCAATAGATTCACAATAAGTCAGATTCAGATTAAATAAACAGTTTATATGATATGTAAAAATGTACGTAGGCTTGGAAGAGAGAAGAAAAGGAGTATATGCAGTTATATAAAAATATCTTTAAAAAATAACGCCTTTAAAGAGACAGTAAAAGTAATATAAAAAATAAGCCATGTAAAGATGGAAATCACAATCTTGACGTCCCCCACCTGCAGTATCTCTCCTCTCTCTCATCAATTGGATTCCTGTAGCTCAGCCTGGTACCTGGCCGTGGATCTCTGTATCTGCCTCCATCAGTCACTGGACAAAGGCTCTATGATGACAGCTAGTTTATTTGCTAGGCTGGTCACCAGAGTAGACTAGTCCAGGCACCCTCTGGACCACTGCCAGTAGACCAAGGTGGGATCAACCTTGTGGATTCCTGAGAGCCTCCCCAGTACCCTGCCTCCTCCTATTCCCATGATGTCCTCATCTATCATGGTATCTTCCTCCCTGCCCTCCCACTCTGTTCCTGTTCCAGCTTGGCCCTCTTATTTCCCTATGTTCTCATCCCTCACTCCTCGCCCTCTGCCACCCCCACACACACCCAGTCCACACATGTAGATCTCATCCACTTCTCTTTTACAGGGTCATCCATATGTCCCTCTGTCCCGGCCAGCGAGATCTTCAGCAGAGACCCTAGAAGGGGGAATGGCGAATGAAGGGACAAGAGACACACAGAACTGACAGCAAGACAGTATTCTGATCAAGCTGCAAAATTTTATTTTTCTCAGGTGTTTTATAGTAAGCAGACCAGGAAACTTTCTTTGGGAAAAGATCAGGGGACTGTTGAGTTGCCAAGCAACCCAAGCAAGCAACCTAACCACAAAACATTGTTACTAGTGGTCACTATAGCAGAAAGATAAGGAAATGTTAAGTTATTTTCTAATAACTCAGGACTTGTCCATGCATGTCAGAAGTTTCTGGTTAATGGCTCAATACTGGGCAACAGAAACTTAACTCAGGCAGGCAATATGGCATGGCTCTTGAAATTGTCCTTGGCATCCCTCCTAGGGTCTTTCCCTGAGGAGGGTTTAGATCATGATGGGAGGATATGCAGAGATGACTGGCCACACTAGTGGAAGCCCATAAACTGTGGAA